TCAATGCTTTAAGAAGGATTGGATGTGCTTGCGGTGCATACATATCAGGTCCCCAATCTTACTGGACCATTGCCAAAGGAAGACATGCCTCCTCAATGAGGGGCCAGCGGCGTATAGAAGGAGTCTCATTGTTGGAAAATAGAGTAGAAACATTTTATTTATTTTTTTCAATTTGACAATTTTTATTATTTTTGGGGTACAGAAAGGAAACAGGGGATGGAGAGTATGCAGGTGAGCCATTCATGCGTCATCACAATCGGTTAATGACATTTTCCTAATCTCTGTAGTTTTTGCCCATGGATACACTTGCCGCCTCTTATCGTGTTGGGACGGGGATGGGGCACAGAAGACAAGAGGGATGGGCACACAGTGGAATGAATGTCAGTACTAACCGAGGTTTGAAGAAGTTTGCCATGAGGCCCTCCACTTTTGTACCCTTTAACCATGAGTCGGGTTACGTGTCGTACATGCGGTGAGTCTATCTCCCCTCCTGCCTTGGCTCTCAGGCCCTTGGGCCTGCTGTAAGCAGGCTCTGTGTCTCCCTAAGCTATCCGGGGAACCTCGTGTCCTCCGGGATAACCCATCTCCCGTCCCTGGTTTCTGCACGGGAGATGTGTGGCTCTGAACTCCACTCGGGGGGAGTGTGGGAGGTTAGCTCGTCATTGCCCTTCGTGGGTTTCTCTGTTTCTCTTACCAGGGCTAACCTGTTTCTGAATTGTACTTGTGTTGGCAGGTATTATCTGCCTGTAGGGGTTGGTGTCTGGTGGGGAGGGATAACTGGGATAACAAGTTAACTCGTATGTCCTTGTTAGTTTGATTTGTGTTGTTTATTTGACTCTGTATTGTCCCTTTCGTTGGCCCATTGTGAATTTCTAAGGTCTCTGCTTTCTGCAAATGTTGCCCAAAGCGCTCTCGCTGTGGCGTTTCCCTTGCCCATTTTTGTTTGGTTCCACATTATTCCTTCGTATTCTAATGTTGTCGTAACCATCATTTCTACCTCCGCTATGGATGGGACCCTTGTGGCGTGCCTATGGGTAAGAGTTGGAGTAGGAATGTTTCTGCATTATGGTCCAGTATGCACCCTGTGGTTCCCTGTATGAGCCCTGCTATTTGCTTCCAATATGGTCAGGCATCTCCAACATCTGTCACTCGTGTCGGGGTAAATTTTCTTGAGCCGTGAAGGCACCATATACCATCTGTATATTAATTTACATGAGGTCTCTATGTGGGAGGCGCACGTTGTGTGTCCCTTGTGGTTTGTGTGGCTGTAGTACCATTCGTCTTGTGTGAGTGTCCTACCTATATCTCTGTGCCATTCAGCCTTGTACCTCCACTCCGGCTCTGTTTCGCTCTTGGTGATTGACATGTAGCACACAGATAGTGTTTTTTCTGCCAGTATGAGAACGTGAGCTGCGGTGGTATGTGGTGTGTGTCCTGAATAATTGGTAACGGGTGTAGTCCTTGAGAGGAACATATCTGATGCAGATGTGTGATGTTGGAGGCCTTCCATGCTCTGTATGGGAATGTGTTGTTGCAGAGAGTTATTGAGTGCAGTGGCGTCGCCATAGACCACGGCTCAATGGAGGAGAATTTGGATCTGTGACTATCCCATATGCGGTACAGAAGTTTAGTGGTAGGTAAGGTGTTTGATGTGCGGCGCAGATGCTTGGGCATCCACAGAGCCTCCGGGAGGTCCGCGACCCCGCTGCAGCTAGCCTCTATCGCTATCCATTGGGGGGTGTATGTAGTGGAGTGCATGGCGAGGATATTCGCCGTTTGTGCTGCGTGATAGTATGCCTTAAGGTTCGGGAAGCCCAGGCCTCCTTTATCTATTGGCTTCATGAGCAGCGTTCTTGAGACCCTGGGGTGTCTCCCTCCCCAGCTAAATTTAATCAGGTTGAATTGGAGTCTGTGTAGGTACGGCTGCAGTAGGGGTATTTGTAAAGAGCGGAACAAATAGAGGATTTTAGGTAAGATTGTCATTTTGATGTCCGCTATTCGGCCTAGCCATGAAAGGAACTTGTTCTGCCACGAATGCAGGATGTGCTCCACCTCTTTGGTTAGTTTAATGTAATTGGCTGCGAAGAGGTCGGTGTATCTTTTGGTAAGTTTGATGCCTAGAAATGTCAAGAAGTCATTCCTCCAGTCATATTGGAATTTGAGTCGGTACCTCTCTTCGTCTGCCTTTGGGAAGTTTATGCACATGGCTTGGGTTTTAGTTAGGTTTAGTTGGTAATATGATTACCTGCTGTAATCTTTCATTTCTTTATGGAGGTTTGGGAGGGAAATTGCTGGGTTGGATAGTGTGAGAAGGATAACGTCCGCGAATAGGTTTAGTTTGTATTCCTTGCCGCCTATGGAGATTCCCTTAATGTCCTTGTTATTTCGGATCGCTATGGCCAGTGGTTCCAGGGCCAGCACATAGAGTAGTGGGGAAAGAGGGCAGCTCTGTCGGGTACCGTTGGTAATTGCTAGTGGGGTGGAGCTAAACCCTGAGTTAAACACTGTCGCCAAGGGGTTGCTGTATAGGGCCTTTACCATGCTAAGAAAGTCGGGGGGGAAGCCATATCTGGTGAGCGCTCCCTGCAAAAATTGCCAGTTAAGCCGGTCGAACGCTTTTTCAGCGTCTAGAAGTGTACTTTGTGTTTTGGAGCTATTGAGGTAGTGGAGGATGTCTAACACTTTCCTCGAGTTGTCTGGACCCTCTGCTGGAAACAAATCCCACTTGGTCCGTTGAGATCAGGTCAGGTAGGATTATTTTGAGTCTCTCCGCGTAAATTTTGGCGTATAGTTTGGCATCTGCGTTCAGCAGGGAAATGGGTCTGAAATTTGGGCATATCGTGGGCGGTTTACCCGGTTTGGGTAGGGTGATGATGTGGGCTGTGAGGAATTCGGTCAGTAGGCTACTCTGTTGCGTAGCCAAGTTAAAGGCTTGTGTTATGTATGGGCTCAGAATGTTTTTGAATGTGGCGTAGTAGAGGTTTGTGAGGCCGTCTGAGCCTGGTGCCTTTCCCTTCGGCATCAGTTCTATTAACTGTAGTACTTCCTGGGCTGTGATGAGGTTCGTTAGATGCGCTATGTGTTGTTCTTGGAGCTTGGGCAGGTAAAACCTACGTAAGTATTCTGTGATTGTTTCTTGGGTGGGTTGGTGTACTTGAGGGTTGTCTTTCAGGTTGTATAGGGAACTATAGTAGGTCGCAAATTCGTTGCGAATTTGTGTGGGTTGGGTTAATTTTTGTCCTTTTGGTGAGAGCAGGTAGGGGATTTTTGTCTTGGCTGTTTGTCTCTGAGTCTCTGGGACAGAACTTTGCTTGCTCGATTACCGAGGACAAACGTAGTAGCTTTCAGTTTTTTCAATGCATATCTCGCTTTTTGGAAATTTGCGACATTAATTTGATTTTGCATGTCTTTAATCTGTTTTTGCGTGGCCATGGAGGGGGCGAGTATGTTAGCTCTGTGGAGGTCTTGCAGTTTTTTTAGATTTTGGATATGTGTGTGTAGCTGCCGTTTCTTGAGGTAAGAGGCTCTTTTAATGAGGATGCCTCTGATGACCGGTTTGTGGCCCATCCAAGGTGTGTGGGCGTTTATGTCCCTTGTGTCGTTGGATTGAAAGTATGTGTGTAGGTCCTGTTTCAGTGTTTGAACAAAGTTGGGGTCATTAAGGAGTTGTTCGTTTAGCCTCCAGGGGCCTCTGTTCTTATAATTGTAGTGGTCTGCTATATGAAGCGTAACCGGGTTGTGGTCCGACCAGGAGGATGTTCCCATCTCACAATCTATTGTTGTAATCAGGTGTGCGCTCTGTAGCAGAAACCCGTCTATCCTTGAGTACGTGTTGTGTACCTAGGAGTAGTGTGTGTACTCTTTCTCATGTGGGTGCAGGGTGCGCCATGCTTCACATAGTCCGTATGTGTTTAAAAGCTTGGTCAAGGCTTTGCACTGTCTGTGAAGTACCTTTGCTCTACCGGCTGTGTGTGTTGCTGAGGAATCTAAGGTAGGGTCTTGGAACTGGTTGTAGTCTCCGCATATGATTGTTGGTTTACGTTTGGTAGGTTTGTGTTGACTATAGTATAAGTGGAGCTATTGATAGTGCAGATCAATATGATGTACCTGCCTGACGGATCCTTTTTCACCAGAATTTCATCAAAGGCTAGGTGTCGACCTTAGTAGGATAGAGACTCCCTTTCGTTTTGTGGGTGCAGTGGCATGATATTGATGGGGGTATAGTGCCTTCCCCAGGGTGGGAGTCGTATCTGATGAGAAGTGCGTCTCTTGTAAGCATATCACATCAGCTTGTGTACTCTTGAGCTCTTTGAGGAGAGTGTGTCTTTTTTTGTGGGGTATTCAACCCTCTGACATTGTGGGTGTATATTTTCATATTGTTAACGGTTGATGTGCATAACTTGGTTTGGGGCTCCTCTGGTGCTCATGTAGGATTGATTATCTGTGTGTTTGGTGGCTGGTGCCATGTGCAAGGGAGTGCAGAGCAGTCTGCAGGTGGATCTAGTGTGGCGCTGAGGATTATGTCCTTGACCCTGTTTGGGGGTGCCATGTATTATTGGAGTGTTGCAGTTTGGACAATGTCTCATAGTTTTGGTACTTTTCAGTAGTGTAAGCGGTTAGAAGACCTACATCATTAAAACATAACATAAACATTATAAACATTTTAAACCTTAAACAATAGATGGACACTACTTCTGAGGTGTACAATGTTTCTCCTGTGAAGGTCGTTATTTAACCTTCTTGGATTGAGGGTAGGTGGAGGGGTCTAACCATTTTAGGCCCCGAACCAGGAACCAACCATGTGACCGGGCTCATTATTGGTAAGCACTTGGCCGCGGTTTGACTCTCAGAGCTATGAGTTCCGCTGGAATATGGGTGGAGGGGCTACCCCCCCGTTTTCGTTTGCGTCTGGTGATTTGTTGGGACCTCAAAAATATATGGCGTCATACATATATATATATTTTTTATTTTCATTTTATTATTTATATATATATATATATATATATTTTTGTAAACAACATAAGCATTTTTATTTTTTTGGGTTAGTGCATACTTGTTAATGTATGACTCGCTCTATTGATTCTTTGGTCTAGTCATTGACTGTGAGGGGAGGGGGGAGAAAAAGGAAGTCGTGACTTTCTGTGGTTTGCTTCCGGGGGTGCTTCCCCTACAGTGGGGTCGTGTAGGGCAGGGGATTTGCCAAGTATCATATACCCTAGGGTATGTTGCCTGCCCCTTCATATTCCCTGTCCATTGTCCCCCACCCCATCCAAACCTTTGGCGTCAGGCTTTAATTAGAGAATGTCTCTGGCACTTCACTGCGCAGTACGTGGGGTGGTCCGCCTCGCTTTGATTGCTCTCCAGTCCCCCTGTATTTTGCTGCCTCGAGGTTGGCCCACGTTCTGGGTGTTGTTCACTGTGATGCCCCAGGACTGGAGGAGGTCGGTGCCCTCTGCAGTGGACGTGATCACGTGCGTCTTGCCGTCCTTGTTAATGAGCAGCTTTACCGGGTATCCCCATCGGTACTGGAGGTTGCGCTGGCGGAGTGTCTCTGTGATGTTTCGGTACGTCCGACGTCTTTTTAATGTTTCTGCGGATAGGTCTGTGTAGATACTGATGTCTTTGAACTTTTCCGGCACATTTCTGCTATTTCGGTGAGTTTTCGAGATCTGCTCTTTAATGTGAAAGTAATGTACTCTCATGAGGACGTCTCGTGGTGTGGAGGGAGGTAAGTGTGCAGGTTTTGCTACTCTGTGTATCCTATCTATGATCAGCATATCTGTCGGGATGTCGGGCAGCAGGGAGTGAAAAAACTCTATGGCGTAGGCCGTTAGCTCTTGCTGGTGCACCTCTTCCAGTATGCCCCTCAGCCGTAGATTATTGCGGCGGGAACGGTCCTCCATGTCCATAACTTTGTTTTCATATCGTTCCAACCTGCTTTCTATGTCCTCCATCTTGTCTGCCATGGAATCATGGGCTGTGACAAACTCCTCCATTCTGCCCTCTAAGTGCGAGGTTCTGCTGCCTAAGTCCGCAATGTCCCTTCTCAGGTCTGCTATTGCTGTGTGGAACGTGCTCTGCATTTTCCTTGCTAAGTCATCTAGCATGTGCTGCAGGGTTTGTTTGTTTAGTCCTGTACCTGCTGCCTGATCGCTGTCCGTCTCTGATTCGGCGCCATCTTGGTTTTGTTGGCCTGCGGTTTTAGGTTGCGGCTTGCGGGCTGCAAAGAAAGCAGACTTATCTTTGGGTTCCACCGTTTTTTTCGCCCTGTGCTGTGACATCCCTGAGGCTGCTTTTGACGATTTCCGTGCTGTTTAACGCTGGTAATTACGCTTTTGTTGAGCCCTGTTGACAGAGCTCCCTCAGTCCGCGATCATTTGGCTCGGGTTCCAGCCACGCCCCCCCAGAAACTTATTTTTAATAATTTTATGGCAGACTGGATGGGTGGCAGTTAATTATATAGGGACAGTGATACTATAGCGTTAGGCATACAGGTTAGAAATACCCAGACATGGGTAAACAGTTCCTGGAAATGAATGCCATGCAGGACTCACCTTTGAAAGCCATTGTTTCATATCATTGCTGCATACGTGACACATACATAGCTACCAGATTCTTCAATGCGATATGCAGGAGGTGACTGTATGACCTAAATGCCTAACTATGGTTATTGTCATGTCATATATACTGAAATATGCATTGCCATGACAACCACATAGGCATCCATTAAACAGATGGGCCTTTAGGCAGCAGCATTTTCTCTCTAAAGGCTTGACAACCTCTCATATTCTGTCGGCCACTTACTATGATACATAGGGTCCTGTTAACTCTATAACCAACACTACTAGTATAGCCAAGCTTTGGCTCTCTAAATTGACATTAAGCACCCTGCACCCATCTAATTAATGTTGGACTGCAACACTGATCACTTTCAACCAACCACTGGTGAAAACAGGCCACATTGTCTTTCACACATCTAAGCCGTTCCCATCAGCCCTCTGCTTCCAAGTGTGTGATGGTTGTGCAGGTCACGGCTGGTGTATTGCAGAGATGTTTTGTTTAGTACAGTGATGTGGCTTTATAAATAGAACATTTAGGCTTTTAGGCTATATGAGGTGCCTGTATCTTGTTTCTGTAGTGTCCTAACATGTCTGTGCCTTGGGAACATGATTCCATACAACCTACACATAATAACTCAATAATCCTGATACCTCTGTAGGATGTTTAAAGAACATTTTACAGGCCACTCAGATTCTTGCACCGAGTCAATATGAGGGTGTTCTTTGTTTTTTGCATGCCTGAGGAGTCAGCAACTTTATTTCAAACACAACTTATAGAAAACGTCTATCTATCTGTAACATAGCTCCCTGTACCCCTGGCTGGGTACCTCTGCCAGGACCGCTTCCTAGCTGGAACAGAAGACAAACTTTAGCACTCTTGCCCACAGTCATTGTGGCTTGACTGGAGTCCTGGAACGACTCCCTCCTGGAGCCGAATGGGGAATTTGCTCTAGACACCCCCAGGCACTGGACGACACTCAGTCCTGGGAGCTCTAGTCCTTACAAGGACTTTCCCGCTGAATCCTCCATGCTGGAACAAACTGGAGCAGTGATTAGCCCTTTCCCCTCCCAGTAACCAGACGACACATAGTTCTGGGAGTACAAGCTGGAATACGTTTATTGGCAGCCACAACTGGCCTTATATGCAGGTCCCCATGCAAGGGGCACTCCCACCTGGACTTGAGAGTACACTACAGTAAAAACACACTCGATTACATCAGGTCCAGGACACTCCCATACAAAACAAGATAATCCCTCCCCTGTGCCTGAGAGATAATTGTGTCAGAGACTGTACAAAACTTAATTATCTCCAGGCACAAAAACACACATTTCCCAAACACCCCAAAAGTACCTTAAAATACATAGAACCCCCTAGTTACATCCACTGATAGCCCTGATCTGGGTGACCAACATATCCAAAAATCACCCAGATCGGTTCCAAACACTTAGAACACTGCAGTGGAAATTGCTACAAAGTATCAATTAGGCTTAACAAGCTCCAGGGTGGTCTCCGGTTCATGTGGCTGTTCGGTTCCCAAACCATTTAGTCCAAATACATGAACAGAGACTTTTACATTACATTTTACAGGGTCCATAGTCTGTGGGCAGGAGGCTGGCAAGCAGGCTCCTCCAGGAGCTCGTGGCAAATTCACTTGCAAAGGGGAGTTTGTCACACCATCTATCTAATATCTATCTAAGATTGAACAAAAATGCATATTAAGTCCATTGAGTGCTTTCCTAAACTACTGTGAATGTTAATTGGCCGGAGTTTGTACCGTGTCATTTTTCACCAGCAACCCATTCCTGCCTCATCTTATGTCATTTTGTGTAATTTTTGTTGTTGTGGTATTTCCCTATCTCTACTATTGGTACAATGGATAATTTAACAGTGTCAAAGATCCTTCTCAACCTTAGTTCCAGTCAAATGGCGCTGATCTCACTTTTTCTTTCTTTTTAATCACTTTATTAAAAAAATAATAAACATGCATTTTCAAATAGCTTCATAAAATATTATAGTACGGGTAAGAACTATTCACATAAAATGTGAAATTGCCTCTGTTTCACCAACAGAGGTGTGCCTAGTCATTCACTAGATTCATGCATACAGCAGGTGACAGCACAAGGCTGTCAAATTAGGGAATCTAAAAGGAAAGTGGGGGAGATGATGAATGGGTGCCCAAACATGTGTCCTACAAAATGTACTGTGCAGCAGATACCATGCTTACGACCATGACCTAAGTCCTAATACACCCTGCCTTTTTTAAATGTTACTGTGACAGGCTGCCCGATTGCTGTACCTTACTCAAAACTCTTATGAGCACTTTATGTCCTTCAGTGCTGAGATTGCTGAATTTCTCTCCAGAGTTTGATATTAAAACATGAAATGCCATGTATCTTGGAAAAATAATCCATCCTTAAATGTTTGCAATAATTGCTGTTTCACATGAA